TCCGATAAAGATCGGACAAAGACTTGGGCTTGAAAAATTACTTCTAGAACTTCAACTTCAAAACTCCGTATTTTTTGTTGAACTTTAATGAAATTGAAATCCCCAAATAAATTCTAATGTACTCACCAATTTTTCCCAGTTACTACGGTCTAACGTCAAAAGCTTTCTGACGGAGTCTCTCTTTTCCATTTCCATTTGAATGCGGTTGTCATGGCTACATGCTGCATTTTCTATCAAATATTTCTGTCTTAAACTTTGTAAAACAATTTTATTTCTAACATTTTATATCTAAAATTTACTATTACCTTCAAAATCTCAAAATGAATTCATTCTCCGAATTTCATTTTCAAGGGAATGTTGCTTCGATGAAATTGAGGTGAGAAGAGACTGATCTCAATTTTGAGAGACTCAATTTTGTTGTCATTCACTGATTTTAAGCCTTGTTTTCATTGAATGAAATCAAAATTGATTTAATTGAATGAAAACTGACAGTACGGTGGTTTCTTTTTCTATTTCTTTTATTCGACAGTTTTCTACAATTCTCATATTCCAGGGTCACCCTTCGCGGTGGCTCACGTCTTGCCGGTTTGCCCTCATTCGTCGAATTCTCGAGCGACCTGCATCGACAAGAAACGATACAAGATTCACAAGCGAATAGAGTACCCTAAAAAATCCATAAACATAACACTCGCAAAACCTATTGATTCAACTTTTAGCCATCTTTTAGCCAACTTTTAGCCATCAAACTCAATTCTTTAGACTGTGGATGAGATCCAATTCACTTGGGGACAACATATCGACGCAAAAGTATACTTTTTAGCTGAATTTCTTATCCAAATTTTATTTTATTTTAGCCCAACACAGGATTGGTCCCGCCAAGAGCCGGCGAACAGGGGTTAGCACAAATCTACTATATATAAAAGTGTGCCTGTTCGTCCGTCTGTAGGCGCTGGGGCGATTTACATAATTTTTAGTTTTTTAGGCTTAGAATTCTATTTAATTGTGCATTTCATATTTTTTAAAAAAAAAGTCAAGGCAGAGCCGGGAGTCGAACCCGAATTGTGTGGGTTGTAGACAAGCGCGCTCTCGACTGCGCCACGGCGACAAAGCAGCTAGGCAGAAAAATTAGCCGTTAAGTGGGTTTTTAGACGGAATCGAACCGAGCCTCGACTTTTCACCCTCGTTTCCGGAGAGCAATGGCCACCGCATTTAGAGGTATGTTTTGTACTCGAATCTGTAAACGCAAACAATCTAGTGCACCGAATTCTTCACTTTCTTGTTATCGGTAAAAAATAAAGTGTTGATGGCTGGCTAAAAGATGGCTAAAAGTTTAGTGCACCAGAGAAGATGTGTTCACATTTTTAAGCATAAAGTACAAAAAAAATATATCTGAATCTTTCTTTTCAAAGTTTACTTTGAGTACAAAAGATCTAAACGCACCCTTTCTGCGTTTAGATCTTTCGTTATTCTGCTCGCTTTCAGCTCAATTCATTATTCTAGTGATTCTAGTGATTGTTTCAAGAAAAATGAAGAATTCCATGCAATAGATAGGATGTGTTTACGTTTTTGCTCAAAAAGCTCTCCTTACAGCCATATCGTTCGAATTTGGATATGGAAAACGAAACGAAACCCGTTGAAACGAAAACTCTTCCACGACCAGCCGTTCGTCGAATCTCTCCGCTACAGTAATCCTAATTTCTTTTACTGAATACTTTTACTCAAATAGGATTTGGCACCGAGAGAATCCGATCATTGATTTACCGCCGAAAAGCTCTAAACGTTCTCTGAAAAAGAAACAAGCGATGATGTTAATTGTGGCTAATTGTGCATCAATTCATGGGTTTTGAGAGAAAATTATGTTTAAGGATTAAAAAAAGGATTCAGAAGTGAGAAATCTCCGCTAGATGATGTTGTTATTTGTCGAATTTCTTGCGAAAATCGGACTCTTTCCTTTTCACCGCCATTAACGAAAAGTGGTAAGTGAGTTGGTAAATCTGTTGTAGACGATTGCTCATCAATCATCAAAGATTACTTTACTGTAGATATGAGTTGTAGTTGTAGATCAATGGGTTTACTGTAGATATGAGTCTAGACTGTTTACATATAAGCTTAAATCAAGCTCGAGTACGGATCGAGACTGGACAAACCCTATAGCTTGGTACGGCCGATTACGGCCGATGTACGGCCGATTTGCCTTAACTTGAGCCAGGGTATCCTGTAGCTATGAATCTGATCAAGGAATACCAGCATGCTGTAGCCTGGCTAAGTTATACTGTAGCTTTAAGCCAGCAATTGGTTCATTTACATTTGAAGAGAAATGTCAAAATATCTACTCTATTCATTTAGCTAAAGCTTTTAGATAATGCAAATTCTTAAAAACTAGAGATTGTTGTTTATTTACCACCGAGTTTCGAAGTGAAACCTAACCTATTTAGCTATTTAGCTATAACTAAGTTATAGCTATTTTTTTCACTGATTCCGAATCCGATCGTTTTTTTGTAATGGTTTCAAATTTTCGATTTAAATCCATTTGAAGTTTGTGTGTAAAGAAAAGCTGAATGTTGAGCTAATTACCGTATTTACTCTATTAGTGGGGTCCTCTCTAATAGTGGGGTCGTCTGGAGGGGGGTTGAAAAAATAGTGGGGTCCTCTCTAATATTGGTAACGAAAGTGATACATCAATTGTTGATCTCTTGGATTAGTTCTTTTACTGTTTGTTAATGTTTTGTTACGGTTAAAGCTAAATAAAATATGAAGCCAAACTTGCTTTGTCAAGAATTTCTGAGAAAAATTGATATCTTTTCAATTTAAAACTTTGGTTTTATGTTCTTTTAAATTTCTCTAATAGTGGGGTCCTCTCTAATAGTGGGGTCGTCTGGAAGGGGATTGAAAAAATAGTGGGGGACCCCACTAATAGAGTAAATACGGTATTTGACTGCGCGAGTATCAAGCGATCTTACGTCCCTCGAAGACATGTCATCGTGGCCAGGTGGTTAGGCTCTAACCCTCTGGCCCTCGTTTGAGCCCGGATTTAGGCAACAACTTTTGCTTTTCTTGAAAAAAGACTCTTTTTAACTAACCACCTGGCATAAATGTGAATCTAGAATCTTGCAAACTGGAAAATAGGCTAGGTCTTCTTTGAAATTCGTTGGTAAATCAACAAACAAACAACAACAACAATAAAAACAACAAACTTAGGCTACAAACTCGAGAATCGACACGGCTCGTTGACGGCTTTTCTCTCGATTTTGGATGAAGAGTTCACGGCGATTCCCGATGATGCAATAATTAATGAGAGTGTAAATGGAAACAGTTCCATTACTTATTTAAACATTTCAGGATTACATCAGCGAGGATTCATTCGATCTACCGCGTGCACGGCAAATCTTCTACTCATACTATGTGGAACTTGGTTAGAACAAAGGGTTAATTAAATATACTGTAAAAGCCCAATCGTTTACAGTATCTCATTAATGTTTTCCACTTGAACAGCTTTAAAGTACTGTAACGGCCAAGTTACAGTAGGCCAGAGCTGTCTCGAATGAATATTTTATCTCTAAAGCCCATTTTTCAGTTGAGGCTTTGAATTTCCCGCATGATCCGCTCTTTGTCGAGTATCGAGTGGAATTCCCATCGTATTTCATTCCAGTAATAGATCAGGTTGAATAGAGGTTCAATAAAATCAGGTTCAATAAAATTTATTTAGTCACAAATGGGGCAAAATGGAGAAACTGAAACAATCAGCGGACGAACGAGAACATTTTACGCGAAAAAGAGTGGCAAGGTAGAAAAGGGTTGAATTGGGGTACTGTAATCGGTTACACTAATTTACTACCGTATGCCGAAGAGTCCAGCGATAAGAATGAATCATATTTTCGGTACTTATCGGTCTTACCTCAGCACTTTGCATTAAAAGCGATCAATTTACATTTAAAGGAGCGCATCGACAAGTACCGTTTTCTCTTTGTCTCAAGGTATCAAATTGAAATCATAGACCTAATATCTCAAAAACAAATTTTATCTAACTTTCTTATAGTCGGAACCTTGTCTCAAACTATGTAAGCACAAATTTCCCGTTTTAGGACCAAGTGACGGTGCTCAATCACCTCTTTGAGATTGCCTTCGCCATCGATCCAACTATAGCCTCAAGAATGAAAAATGAAAAGCGTATTTCAAAGATGCGAAAATTTTATTTACACAGATTTAGTCTCCTGGCCGATCCTCGTTTTTCGTGTTTGCTCGCAAGATTTTTGGGGTCGATGCTTCATCTCTGGCTATGGTTCAGTTCAATTGCCGATGCTTGGATTCAAGTGACCAAGAAACATTAAACATAATAGTTTTAAATCAATATAGGCAAGAGTTCGAAGCAAATTGTTGGAGACTCAAGGCCTCCGAAAGTCAGCGCTTTGCTCCGTTGAGGTGAGACAACAATATTAAAGACCCTGTTTAATTTGAAAACATTTTCAGAGATTTGCTCATTGGAGATATTCACGAGCTAAAGGATTATCTTGAGAACAAGGCACTGGTAAATAAGCTTTATTACCATTACTTCAAAATTTTGATATGTTTGCGTAAAATGCGTAAGACACGTATCAAGGATAATTAAAACGCCAAAATATTCAGAACGGGTCCTCACGAGCCGGCCTATCGACTACTAGCTCTGGCACACTGCGACTCCGATGTTCTCGCTTAATCCAATCTAGAAATTTTGTCTCCACCGAAATGATGAATCGCCTCAAATATGGTTCAATGTTGGATAAAATTGGGTGAGGAATAAACTATTTCATAAAGTGAAGAGAAATTTAGCATCAACTCATCACTTCACTGGAGGATTATGAAAGTTTTAATGGAATTTGAGGAGGCTCGGAGAGAGTTGTTGAGAATTCGCGCAAGAAATAAGCCACAATAAATTGTACAGTCAATTTATTCCAAAAGATTCAATAAAGTACACGTAGAAAGGAGTACACCGGAAAACTCAACAAGAAAAAACAAACTTTTTACAATGGTGCCAGTTTGGCCGTATGTTCCTTCACAATGGGAAGATGCGTCCAAATTTGATTCGGATCGTTGATCACATCGTTGTCCTATAAAATTAGCAAGTTATAGAAGCAAAAAAAGCAATTAACCAAATGTTTCAACGTTTCCATTTTAGCCTCTCGAAGACTCCATTCACGAATTATTGACGTTTCATGCGTTCTTCCAAATACACGAGTATCGCAAACCCGGACCTAAAAAAATAAATTTTAAACAAAAAATTCTGCTTACATGGACGTGATCGACCCGGAGATAAAAACGGACTAGAACGAAGAAACAAGTTGGCATCACTCGAATACGAGCGCTATACTGAAAAAACTAATTACATAACTTTGCAAACAATGCATCTACCTGCGCCATTCCGTGATCGTGAAGCTCGTCTTCGTAAAGAACATTTTGAGCATAGAAAAGGATTGGGTCCTGGCGCTTTAGAGTTTCCATATCAATCGCATCTTCCGTTTCAGATTCCTAAAATTAACCGAATAAAAAACTCTAATAAGTGTCATACATGCACTTCTTTTAGTGTGCCAGCGTATTCGGTTGTATAAGTCCAATCAAAAGGCTTTTCGTATTCTCGGAATTCTTCCAATCCCTTTCGAGCTTCTTGCCAAGTAGCTGCAGATGCAACCTTACAAAATAAAATTAATAAAGATTTTTTTTTGTTATTTTCCAAACCTGAAAGTCTGGCAATTTACTTGTGCTAACCATCTTCAAAGCTTCCAATGCCGTAAAACTTATCTAAAACACTCGAATACAATTTATTTTAATTAAATGATACCTGCGCATTTGGGTGATTCTTCCAACGAATGATAAGTTCATTGTCTGGAAACAGAAGTTCGGGATGATGCGGTAATAGGGAAAGTTCTCTTCCAAACAAGCAAATCTCAATTTGCAAAGCGTATTAGTAAAAACTTGTGTAAGAAACCTTGCACTTTTGAGCTCCATCATCATCATCTTCCGCGTGATCACATTGCGATGAAATGATGTGATCCCAAATACTCTCGAAACGGTATTCTCCTTGCTCATAGGACTCCTAAAAATAGAAATTTAAAACAAAACGAGTAAAAAACTATGTTTGTAGTAGGTCAAGAAAGCTTGCTCAAGTCAGTAAGAAAAGTTTCTTCAGGTTTTTATCGAGGGTTTGTTTCTTTTCCAAACTGTTTTAAGGCTCATCCCTAACTTTTTTGCTGGATTGAATACAAATTGGTTTACCTAAATTAATGAATAGCCTAAAAAAGATTCGGTAGAAAAAATATTAATACCGCCTTGAGACGCAATATTAGAATAAAAGTTGAAAAGTTCCTGATGTGCAAGTTAAGCTTTTCAACTAAAAAATAAAAAAGTTACTCACCTCCTTGCGAGCATTTCTCTTCGCACTTTCGATGATGTAGTTAGCGGGCTGTCGAGAGTCTTTCGAAATCGTGAACGCGCCCGGCGAGTGGGCAGTCGAAGTTGGAGCGCTCATGGCTGCCTAAAAAGGAAACTTTTATTAGATGACATGAAAAGTAATGAAATGACGAGGAAATTAAAAGTTTACTCCTTCAATTCTTTTGAAAAAGTTGAAAACAAGAAAACAAGAAAACAAATTTTCCGCAAAACGTTTGAATACAGTTGACGTAAAATAAGCGGTGGTAATGTCTTCACTTTCAAATCTGCAATGCTTTATAAAGAGTTTGGCCCGAAGGGATATTCATTTATTCAATTGAATATTCATTTATGCAATTTAACAAAGTATAGGCATCTCCTAAACAAGTTTATCGTCGTTCGGTCATTCAGTCATTTTGGTCTTTGTTTCGCTTTTTCTACATTTTGTTTCTTGCTTTTTTTTCTGTTAATCACACATACTTTAAAAGAACGAGCAAATCGAAGAATGAAATCGGCGAACGTGTTACGAATAGGAGATCAAGCGGCTGATGGCTCGATTTACATGGGCCAGGCTCGAGTCCCCGTTCCAAAACCAACACCTGAGCGTGGAGGGTAGGTTTTTATTTTTGTATTCTAAACTTTAGGGGGCTTTTGTTATAAATATGTATCTAGGTAGATGTTTTCTGTTACGAAACAATTTCTTTTTAGGCCTTTCACCCTGAAAGACTTCGATATTGGACGACCATTGGGCAAAGGCAAATTTGGAAGCGTCTACTTGGCCCGAATTCGAGAAAACGGCTTCATTGTTGCATTAAAGGCTCGTGTTTTTTGTTATGCTCTAAACTTTCAATTTTTAGGTTCTCTTCAAGTCACAACTCGAAAAGGGCGGTTGTGAGCATCAATTGAGACGCGAAGTCGAAATCCAATCTCATCTGAGCCATCCAAACGTCTTACGCATGTACACTTACTTCTGGGATTCGAGCAAGATCTACTTGGTGCTCGAATACGCAGAGGGTGGAGAACTCTACAAATCACTACGGACAAGGAGACGTTTCGAAGAAGCGGATGCAGCAGTGGTTGGCTTACTGGATTTATTTTTGCTAATGTGTAGTCTTTAGTACATGCATCAAATGGCCGACGCATTGATCTACTGTCACTCAAAGAACGTGATTCATCGAGACATCAAACCAGAGAACTTACTAATTGGATCGCTTGGGGAACTCAAAATAGCAGACTTTGGCTGGTCAGTCCATGCTCCCGGAAAGAAGTGAGTTACATAAAATTCTCATCAATCTAGCAATTAAATTAATAGGCGCCAAACCATGTGTGGAACGATGGATTATTTGCCACCCGAAATGATACTTGGCCACCGACACGGCGAACATGTTTGTTGCTGAGTTATCATCATTTAGAACATTTTATTTTAGGTGGATTTATGGTCGCTCGGCGTCTTATGCTACGAATTTCTCGTGGGATCTCCACCCTTTGAAAGCGATGATACACAAGTTACTTATCGAAAGATTCGACATGTAAACCTTATTCCGATTTTCTAACCTAAATTTGTTTAGGTTGATTACCAGTTCCCGTCATCAACTTCTGAAGGTGCTCGCGATCTAATTCGGAGACTACTAGTGTTCAATCCAGCTGATCGACTGACGCTTCAAGGGGTTTGTGTTATCGCGGGAGAAACGGATAATTTATACTTTGATAAGTTACGACAAGTCTCTAGTGTAGGTGTAGTTTTAATTTGATATATTCTTTGTATTTTTGCATCTTTTTAGGTGAAGGATCATTCTTGGGTAAAAGATCACGTACGAGCCCGGCGTGAGCGGCGTGAACGAGAGGAAAAGTACAAAGAACGAAGTGGTTCAGGTTCTCGACTTGCCAAATAGGCATTCGAAGTTTTGTATATCTACGTTAACATTCATTTTATTCATTTGCTTTATAAGTTGTCGCTTATTTTTAACGAATCTGTTTCGAATCGAATATTTATGGAAGAATTGATTGGTTTCAATAAACTATTCATAAAAACACGAAAAGGTAACGGCTATAGAAAATCTTAAGCAGACATGAGTGGATTAGGATAATATTTTTATTATCAAACGACTATGATTCAATCGGATTTCTAAAGTGAAGGCACGTTGTACATCGTGAACATTCTGCAATGAAGAGCTGTCTTTGTTCCAACACAACTCGAAAAGTTACCGGAAATTCACAAGCATCCAACTTAATACTCTTGGATTGGGGTCAATATAAACTCTTACCTGCTTTTCAACATCCTCGACGATTAAATTCGGATCTCGTGATGCCTTTTGAGAAGGGAAATTGATGGGGCTTTCAGTGCCTTTTCCACTTCGGTGACGAATTGAGTCGTCTTCTCATTTGATAAATTCGCCGATCGCATTAGAGTATCGTGAAAAAATGAGCTTTTTTGACTACAACAATTTATTCAGAAAACATTATAATGGTAATTGCTTAATGGCCATGTGAGTGGGAATGTTCTCGAAGAGAAACGGATCGCGAGAAAACCGAATATCTAAAGAGTTCTTGTAAGTGGATATTTCAAGGATTTGTTTTTTCCATAAACTAACGGTGGTGGTGGTTTTAGATAGTTAGGATTGTGCACAGCGTAGTGTCCCTTATCGAAGAGAACATCCTCTTCCTCTCGATCATCGACCACTTGACATAAACAACAACAAACCCGGATCAACAGGTAAGCGAATATGGCGATGAATAGTCTAAAAGGGTTTTTTGTGATTTGTGAGCAATTATTTACCCAATCAGCACCACGTAGAGCCATGGCTGCATTCGAGCGCAGCACTCTCGCCCATAGCAACACTCGTACCAGAGAAAGTTATTTGCGGTACCTGAAATTTCTGAATTCCTGAAGGTTTTGCTTGATGTCAGCTGTTGCTTTATAAAAGCGAATTACTTTTATATTCTACTTTTATAAAGCTTTATAAAAGTAGAATAAAATGTACTTTTTTTCAGCAGCACCAAGATCGACTTTAAATCGATTAGGTATTTGCTGTTTTCCTCATTTTACTAATTTTCCCGTTTCCCTTTTTGCAAGCCACTCACACATATAAAAATGCCCCGGAAAACCTTCTAGGTTACACTCTTTTCCCCCAATCGACAAATTGTTGAACGACGGCAAATAGACATAAACGCCGAAAGTGTTCGGCTCCATTTTTGCCTGAAATTGAAGGGATTTGGACCATTTTTCTTAACCCAATACCGACAGTAATCAGTACATCAAAGTACCATCAAAACGAAAGGCTAATCCCGTAAGAATTGTACCAAAAGCCCTATTTCATTCACCTGAATATCTTTATCTCTGAAGACGCGCCACTTCCAACAACATGAACCAAATGAGAAGTGTTTTAAAAGAGAAATCGATGAGATGCTGTCCTTTTTTCGATCGAATTGTGAATATCAATGAGGTCTTTTGGATTTCAAGTGAGAGACAAGAAAAGAACTGAACAATATCCGAAAAATGACGTAGGAATAGATTTGAAACAAACGCCCATTGACTTCCTTGTTTCAGAGTTTCGGACTAAATGTGTATTTGCTCAAACATTTTTAGGGATCAACCCCGACCATTGCAACATTTTTTGAAAGCAATTTATGAAATAAGTAAAAAATTAAATATAAATTAACATAACATGCATAATAACATTGATAATTGCTTGGTGATTTTAACTTCTTTCGGGCTTTCGGAAAAGAACACAACGACAGAATCATTAGATAATATTTGATTCAATAAAAGAAGTGAAAAATGAAAAAACTCTACCTCAAATCCGTTCTCATCGATGTCGATCGACAATTTGAAGTCGATCCAATTTGAAGCAATCGGTGTCGTGGGGCGAAGTCTCTATCCCACCAGAATAAACTAAAAGAAACGGATTAGTTTTCAAAAGTCATGGGAAAGTCTTATCGAATATCGATAGACGATGATAAAATTATTTCCAATCTAATTGTGAGTCTGATTGTAAAATCCTAGCCATCCTAGCCGTGATTCAAGTATTTAAATCAACTACACATTACCAAAAAGCTTACACGGTATTTTGCAATTGGGACAGTTGAGCGAATTGAAGATCTTTACCATTCTATTGATCTAAAAAGGAAACATTATATTGTTGTAAAGCAAACGATGAAAAACAAATGAAAAAAATGGGGGGTGGGACAAATGCTACCTTTTTTTGCGCACCTGGATATTTGCGCACCTTTTTTTTGCTGGAAAAGGCCTTAGGAAAGGTCGTAGAGCTTCAAAAATGTTTTCATAGAAGGGAATCGTATGCGTAGATTCAGAATTTTGACAAATCAGACCTCGCTGACACGTCAAATTTGGACTAAAAGGCAAAAACTGCGGAAAAGCGTTAAATTGCGTAGTTTTTGCCTTTTAGCCCAAATTTGACGTGTCAGCGAGGTCTGATTTGTCAAAATTCTGAATCTACGCATACGGTTCCCTTCTATGAAAACGTTTTTGAAGCTCTACGACTTTTCCTAAGGCCTTTTCCAGCAAAAAAAGGGTGCACAAATGTCTAGGTGCGCAAAAAAAAGATAGCATTTGTCCTACCCCCAAAAATTGCAAACTTTGCGAGAGCACAGCCTTAAGTAGCCAAATAACCTCCAGAAAAAGGTGTACTTTATAAAACACCACAAAAGGGTGTCTTTTAGGAAACAGCTTTTGTATCGCTCGCATTCCCATTCTCTTAGCTTTAATCTGTAAACTAATCTAGATAATTTTACAAGCTTTAGAGCTAATATTTACAAAACTATGATACATAAAGCCTAAATAAAAGCTGAATTTGTTAGACACATTTGTGGAAAGTTAAATTTTATGTAATTTTTGCGAATCTTCTCTACAAACTCGATACTTTTACGATCACAAAAGTGTTCAATTTCCTTTCCATTTCAACTTTACGACTATACTATTTTGATCTTCCCATAAATCCGAGCAGATTAGCGAACATTTTGTCTTCACAAAGTTACATAAAGAAAAAAGCTTAAGTCGACAAGAAAATCTTGTTTTTTTCCCTTTTTTTCACTCTTTTCAAAAACGACAGCCAATTCTCGTTTTGTCAAGAGCTTCTTTCAAGGCTTTTACCGATTTCACTTCAAAAAATTTATGAAAGAATGAGAAAGAAAGCGAGAATCGAGTGATTAATTGCCTAAAATTAGAATAGAACACGGGTTTGAGGGGTAAGACTCGTCAGAGAGTTTTGCAGAATTTAGACGACTTTTCTGAATGGCATTTCTTTTTATATTCGTAATCAGTTTTTTCGTTTTGTTTAAGATTTGTTTTTTTGTACAATGATTTCAGATTAAGGATCTTGATTTGAGAAAACATGAGCTCAAAATTTATTTACTTTTCAAGCGTAATTTTGGATCGTTCAATTGCACAGATAGCTCTTGAGATCTCGATTTGTAATGTCAAAATTTGAACGACTCTTGACAAATCTTGATCTTGAATTGAGATTGAGTTGAGATTGAATTCTTTCGAATTCTTTTGAAAGAATTCAATTGACACTTGAGGATAAAGGTTGTGAAGTTATGATTTCAAAAAAAAATAGGATTAGATGCTAGAGAGTTGCTGTTTGATGTGAGCTAAAGGTATTTTATATAAAATAAAATAATAAAAGGGCTTTTATATACTGCTATGGCACTACGAACTCGAAACAAGGATAAGAAACAGCCGACTATTTAATATACTAGCCGACTATACCTGCCATAGCATGTGCATTGACTCTATATATCAATACTGGATTGAGATAAGTACAGCTTAAACTTATTTTCTAATGTCATCAATCAATAGAACATCTTTTCTAAAAGATTGGTAACTTTGAAAGCTACTGTACCCTATGCATTCTATTCAATTTTGAAGTTTCAGTGCCATTCGTAATTGTTTAAGTCATTGACCATCAGAGAATTGGACCATCATCAGCTAGAGTTTTCTAAAATTCTTGAATCTAGCTGAATTATAGTTGTAGTTGAGCTGAATCTAGCTGAACTTTTTCAAATCCATCTCTCCCCTGTTCATTTGCAAACCTTTAGCTCACATCAAACAGCAATTCTCTAGCATCTAATCCTAGTTTTTTTTTTTTTTGCTCTTTTTTTTTGAAATCATAACTTCACAACCTTTATCCTCAAGTGTCAATTGAATTCTTTCAAAAGAATTCAAAAGAATTCAATCTCAATTCAAGATCAAGACTTGTCAAGAGTCGTTCAAAATTTTGACATCACAAATCGAGATCTCGATTTGTCTTGGCTTGAGGCTTGAGAAATTCTTGTGTTTATGCCTTTTTTTCTCTCTTTTTAACTTGAGATCAAGAATTATCCAAACATAGAATTATCTAAACATAAACATGTCTAATTATCTAAACTAAACAGTGTTCAATTGCACAGATAGCTGTTTGAACACTGTTTAGTTTAGATACAGGGTGCGGCATAAGTATGGTTACAGACTCCAAACTGGGTTTTTTTTATATAATAAAGAATTTTTTTTTGTTTATTTTTTTAAATTTTTTAAAGTTATAATATTTATTTTAATATAAAAAAAAAATAAATTTTTTTTCCTTTTTTTTTTTTTTTTTTTTTTTTTTTTTTTTTTTTTTTTTTTTTTGGCCGCCCGCCGGCCCCTGGGGGTTTTTTCCTTTCTTTTTTTTTTTTTTCTTTTTTTTTTTTTTTTTTTTTTTTTTTTTTTTTTTTTTTTTTTTTTTTTTTATTATAACCCACCCAAAAAAAAAAAAAAAATTTGGTGGTGTTTTTTAAATTTTTTTCCTTTTTTTGAGAAATTTGTGGGGGTTTTTTTTTTTTTTTCCCCCCTTTTTTTTTTTTTTTTTTTTTTTTTCGGTGTTTCCCCTTTTTCCCTCTTTTTTCTTTTTTT